TCCAACTCCATTACTCACCGGCTGAAATCCGTTAGCAAACGAACTGACGTGGCTGACGGCAAAACCATGTGGCCAGTTAAATCCTTCCAAGTTGTATGAGTTGCCAACTCAGCTCAGCCAAACACGCCTTTGAGAACCCTACTGAAGCACGCTTTGATTTCATTCCACCAATTGCTTCCATCTCCAAGAAAGAGAACAGAGTGAAGAAAGCCCTAGGCCCCAAATCAAGAAAATCAACGATCCAACTAATTTTTACCTCTCAATGAGCCAAACTGAGATGGGAAAAAGCTACGCCCATCTCATTTCAGTACTTGGACAGCGTACTCTTCGCCGCTTATATGGATGAACAACACGAAGGTAACTTTTGTGATTTTGGGTTTTATGTTTTGGGCAACGAAAAAGATCATTAGCGTGCTAAAGCTATATATATGTATTTTCTCATATTAGAAACTTGTGGGAGTATATAAAACTTTTATTTTTATTGAAGAAGCAATTCTGGAGCCTGAAATTCCAATAATTCGTTGCATTTTAAAAAATTAATATTGATATAATGTAAAAAAATTTCCTCCAAAATTTGGGGAAAAAAAAGAAGAAGAAGAAGGAAAAAATAGAAATTCAAAGGCCTTCATATTCGGCTAATATGTGTTCGTGATAGCCAATGTTTGTTGTTCCATTTGTTATAGTTTGTGTTATGTTTTATGTTTTTTCGTTGATATTTGTGATCTAAAAGAAATTTAATATGGGCTTAGATTTTGACCATTTGCACTTATTCTTGCTGAACCACTTTTAATTGTATACGAAACCACATCCGCAAGAATGGAGCAGATCACATTTCTTGAATCAATCGAAGAGTGCAAGACTTTGCGAAGTGATAGAGAAAAGATGATTTTATCAATGTTGACATCACTACAACAAACTTTCATGAATAGGATTCAAAAGCGTCGAGAGAAGATGAAGAGATGTACAGGATGCTTGTGTCCAAAGATCAAGAAAAAATTGCTCACGAATGCTGAGAAATCACGTGATTGCACACTGCACTTTTAAGGGGGTCCTGAATGGCAAGTTAAATGCAGCTTTGAGACTTATGTTGTTGATCTACCTGAAAGAACCTGTGCATGCAGAGAATGGGAGCTCATAGACATACCTTGCATGCATGCAGTTGCAGTGATTAGGCTTGCAGAAATGATCCAGACGACTATGTTCACAATTGCTACACTATTGAGACGTACATGCGATGCTACAGTAAAACGAGCCGAGCTCGACTCGGCCCACGAGCTCATGGCTCGTCCGAGCTCGTGGGCCG